GGGAACTCCACACCGAAGATCTCAAGGATACATCCTCGAATCACATCCGTGGCATACACTGCTCGTTCGTTAGCTATAGAAACTCGCAAAGGTTGACTCATGGCCTCTCGACAAATACTGATATGACGACTGAAGGTTAATGACACAAAAGACCGACTCGCTCCCGAGTCAAATAACACTAAGGCAGGTACAAAATTCACAAGAAAAGTACCTACGCATAACATAATATAAGCATAATATCTCAGACTTAAATAAATAGAGAGAAGAATACATAGCGGCGCCAACGTCGGGTGCTGCGCGGACCTCCTCTGTTGTCAACTGGAAATCTCTCCCACGAGCCTTCAGAGCCTCGACCTTCACTGATAGAACCTCAGTAACCCTAGCAGCAGGTGCAGATCCCTGTGTTGACCCCTGATGCAATTGTGGACACTCGACCTTTCAATGGCTAGTTTGGTTGCAATGAAAGCAAACCATAAATCCCTTGGGGCAATCCTTGGCGATATACCCCTCATTGCCACATTTGTAGCAAGCACCCGATCGAAAAGCTCCCTCATGAACCTTGCCGCACTTCCCGCAAGTTTGGCCCTTCTGGCCTCCGGTCCTCGAATCAGCGGGCTTGGCCCGCTTGGCTGCCGGCTGAGACTGAGCTGACCGCCGATCCATCCTCTGAGACTCGGCCTCCTCCCTGGCCTGAGTCTCCAACTCGATCTCCCGCTTCCGGGCATTTTCCTGAAGCTCAGCAAATGTACGGTACATCGAGTTCGACAAGAACTCTCGAATGTCCCTCCTCAAAATGCCCAAATACCGGCTCATCTGTGCCGGCTCAGTAGACACCTGCTCAGGGCAGAACATCGCCCTCTCATGAAACCTCTGGGTAACCACAATAACCGAATCATTACCCTGCTTGAGGGTCAAGAACTCCTGAACTAACTGTTCCCTCTCCAACGGAGGAACATACTCGTCCCTGAACATGGCGGTGAACCTCTCCCAGGTCACCTCGAAAATCTCTGCCAGAGTGAAGCTCGTTGTCACGAACTTCCACCAATCCTTCGCTCCCAGGCGGAGCTGGTTCAAAGCGAACCGCACCCTCAAGTGTTCTGGACAAGAACACGTATAGAAACATCCCTCAATGTTAGAGATCCATCTCATCGCAGCAATCGGGTCCTGCATCCCTTCGAACTCTGGTGGCTTCGTGTTGCTGAACTCCTGAAACAACAACGAGTCTCCTCCCTGAGGTCTGGAAGCAATAGCTGCAGTAGTTGCAGCCTCAGTCACCACTGCATACCGCTCGTCAAAGGTCTCAATCAGTGTGGTCTTGATGTCTCCAAACATCTCCGGAATCTCAGCCCGGATGGAAGCAACCACCTCCTCATGAATCAATCGACGGATCTCCTCGTCACTGACCCCACTGCTCTCAGGTGTGTGTCGTGTCCCAACCATGATGCCTCTGAAATACAACATAAAAATATCAGGGACTCGATCGAGCATACTTGCACTCGATAACGCAACCCTACTCATCCTCCAATATCCAAAGGATTCTTACTTGGGCTGCTCACTGATCTGGTGTCTTCAGTAGTACGGGCCCTATACTACTGACCACACTGTATCAACATTCACCCCAAGTACTCTATTCTCGCTATGCATTGGCTACCTACTCGCTCTCAAGGCATCTCATAGCATCATAATTCTACTAGGCCAAGGCATCACAAATCAGGCCACTCTAGTCCTAATATGAATACCTAGCCTACTCTAGCATGCATAACATAACATAGCATATCTCATAACACATAATGTAAGGGTATTTTAGGGATTCACCGTTTGGGCACTGACTGACCGTACACACTGCTCTGCTCTGTTTGTTTCAAAACTCCTTGTTCTTTTAGAAAATTTAGTTTTTTTTAATTGTTGAAAATTTCTCAAATCCTCAGTTTGAGTTTAGATACGCCCAAAGGTGCATCCGAGTCCCTCAAACCAAGGCTTTGATACCAACTTGTAACAACATAATTTTTCAAAACAATATTTCATTTCCTTAAAACATATTTTCATTCAAAACAAACCATAAAAATCCAATATAACGTAGTCATAATACAAAACATGTCAAATCCCAAGATCAACTATGTCCAAATCCGCATGCGGGTGTATGTATGAGTCATGCTGGCACCTTCTCATGGTCCTCGCTAGTACCTGAAACACATAATACAACAACTGTAAGCATAAATACTTAGTGAGTTCCACAATATACCACATACACACATACGCCCTTCCAGGCCATGACCTTCCGGTCCATGTGTCTCAGGGGACTTCCGTCCCAACCCGATAAACCTTCCAGTCCTACCCGTGTTGACCTTTCAGTCCATAAATCCCTGACCTTCTGGTCTACATCATAATGCCTTCCGGCCCATATCATAATGCCTTCCGGCCCATATCAACCATAACATACATAACGCATACAAAACAGGCAACTAATAACATATAATGCATATATCTTATAGCATACCAGACCTTCCGGTCACACATAGGTACCCTTCCAGGTATAGTATAGTGAGAAGATTCACCTCGTATGATGTCTAGTGTCTCACGTGCTCGATATCTCTGAATCTCGCAACATCGACCTAGCCTCGCCTAATCACATCAAGTAATTATTCCAAATCATTAACGGCTCTCAAGGCTATACTATATTCCTTTCTACAATTCCACAGAAGGTTAAAAGACCATTTTACACCTCCCTGACTCAAAGGTCCACATGTTGACTAAAACCCTAAAAGTCAACAGCAAGCAGTACGTGGGGCGTACCAGCTCCTGTATGTGGGGCGTACCCTTGCACTCCAGAAACGGGGAACGCAACCCCCTATGCGGCGCGTACTGGGATTACACCCAACTTAATGCCCGGTTTCTTTATCCAACACATTCAGGTCTTAATCGGTTAAGACTTGCATCCAAACTTTAGATCTGACTCCTCTAATATGACTTAATCCATAAAGTTGAAACCTTTAAGCCTTTGCATGGCTGTAAAGGTCACTTTGTGCTCAAAACACCTTTCATCTTTCCATAATGAGACTATAACTCATGCATGACACACGATCCACGTCCAAGACTAGATTTTTATGACTCCTCAACACATTATACACTAGAAAAGGTCAGATCTAAGCTTATGGAGACTCTTTGCACACAAAGTCTCCAACTTTGAACCAAAAACCCTAAAAATGATCCAAAAAGCAAAACTTATGAAGAACAAGGAAAGATTTGAGCTTTTTACCTCAGAAAGGATCTACAACCACCGTAGAACTCGGATCTACACTTGTTCTTCAACTTCTAGCTCCAACAATGGCTCCTTCTTCTCCTTCTTCACCTTGAAAAGATAACTTCAAGCTCAAAAACACACACACAAGCTAAAGCACGAATCTCAGCTCTCCAAGGACTCACTCAAGGGAATATGGTGGCTAGGGCAAAGGACTACATGATCCTTTTTATAGTGCAAAATCCAAGAATTAGGGTTTTGCATCTGGGCCGGTTACGCCCGGCGTAACCTTGGGTACGCCTAGCATACCCGGATGAACCCGCGTACAAATTAAGCGCGCGAGTACACGCGTCGTACACCCCAGTACGCCCAGCGTACTCACCAATCCACCTTTCAACTTTAAGGGACTAATTTGCCAACTCTCCAATATAGAAGGGTCATAAAGCTAACCTGGATTTCAGACTGTTACAAACAACCTAAATGAAGCAAGAAGACAAGGGAAACGATTAGCACTACAAATAAGAGGTTGTGGATGATAAGGTGAATCACTTAATTTTCATTTATTTTACACTTCCGTGTTATTTTCTATGAAATAAAGAATAAATGTTCTTCATAAGCTAAGTGCATGTAACTTTCATATTTTATATAGTTTTCACTATTAGTTTCTTATCTATTTTTGTTATTTCTACAATGAATTAAGAGGCTGGTCTTCATAATAAATCATGAGTCCATCTATGAACTCAAAAAAAGTATCTCGAAGCTGAAATCTTTTATTCAATGAGAAATCAAAGAGTATGATTTTACTAGAAGTCAAGCTAAACCTTGAGTATATGTTAGGACTAATGAGAGCATTGAAGTCTTCCTTATTTAAGAAACGATGTCCTTACCATGGAAATGATGAAGGAACTTAGCTAAGGAATTACTTTCCATAAAATACATGTTGATGCAACATACATACTACGAAACAAGATCTATAGAGATAGATCTAAGAGCCTTACTAGATTAAGCCAAAGAATATACATAAGATCTTAAAGAAATTCTAGATGCTGGACTCTAAAAGGAGTTTCTACTTATACAACATAAAATGCAAGTCATGTAGCAAGTAAGGCAATCTCTTGTAATGTTATATAATTTGAGATAATATTAAATCTCATATTTTATACATATATATTTCACATTATGTTATTTATTTAACCCTATGGATTCAAGTTAACCTTATGTATCTTTGGAGTAAATATAATAACCATAAAATGTTAAGAATCATCGTTACACATCATTATAATAACTATAGAAAGTTGAACAAATGAATCGAATGCTTGCCATAATAAATAAAAAAAAGAAATTAAATTACCTCCTATAATTATTCTTACCTATTAAAATTATGACAAATCACCATTCAATTTAATTGTATTTAATGTATTCCTAATATAACCTTAATGAGTTAGTTAAAAAAATATGGAATAATGATACTAGTCATAATTTTATTGGGTAGAAATATTTGTAGCTATAAAAAGTAAGAATCAATTTAATTTCTCAATAAATAAAAAATTATACGAATAATGTTATTATGAGTAAACTTAAAAAATACGTGGATTATCATCATATAGAAAATCGGTAGGGGTTTAACGGAAGAAACTAAAAGTAGGAGGGTAATATTAGACAACGACGCAAAAGATACGGGGGCAAAATGGGTAAAAATTCGTGAAAAGTAAGCATTTGTTAAACTTGCAACAGCTGGCTGGTTTAAAAAATCTCTCCACGCAACACGTTTCCCTATTTTTGTAATTGGCCAGAAAAAATGTTAGCCCCCCATTCCCCAACACCGCAATGAAATTATCTCTGCTTTCTTTATCCACCATTCTCTCTCCTCCTCCGCAACTACATCACAATCATCGGCGGTCAATTTTCTTTCAATCGTTCAAGGTCCGAGCCTCTTCTTCTCCGGCGAATTCCTTCTCGAATCACCGAGTCGTTGTTACGAGAGAACGTGGCAAAAACGACAAGCTCATCGCTGCTCTTGTACTTATCCGTTTCCTTTTTTTCTTCTCATTTATTTTCTACTTTTGCTTTCTGCATTTTAGGTTTTGTTAAAGTTCAGTTCATTCTACATCATGTAAAATGTCTACGTTCTTGTTATCAATTTACATTTTGATGATTTGTCGTAGTTCTGATGCATATATTATTGAAAGTTGTTGTTATTAATTTACATTTAGATAATTTGTCGCAGTTCTTTAGTTGTTGATGCATATATTATTGAAAGATGCATTACAGCGAGGTATTTGATTAAATATGATTATTTCTAAAGATGGGACTAGGTATGGAAGTATAAAATACTATTCCTGTATTTTCTCAATTAGAATCCACTTCATTAAATTGTTCTCATCACCAACGATTTTTATATTCTTAATCTTTGTTAATTTTGTAAAGTGTTAGTGCCCAAACTTTGATTTTGGCTAGATCAATGAATGGAGTACTTGCGTTTCTTACTTTCTTTTGTAATGGAAAAAGTAGAGCGATTCCATGTAATTTTAGTTTAGGTCTTCTCAAATCTCCAGGGGTCATTTCCTTTGTGGCACACTGAATTCTAAACATGTAATGAAGCACTTGGCGTACATTTATTGGTTAGAGGGAAGGAGCACGTGGACTGCTGCATTAATTAATTGTACATGAGAGTATTATATTGGTTTAATGGTTACAACATTAATTCAGAAAATTACAAGTTGGTTCATTGTGGTGCTTATTTTGATATATGCGAATTTTTTCTGTAAAAGAAGTTATAAAAGTTAAAGTTTACATTGTCTATGAAGACTGTGATCATATTGCTGCTGACTTGTAATTATTCTGAACTGAAGCAGTCTTAATATATTTTTTTTTTCTATTCCAACAGTTTTAACTATTACTATATGTGGAACTTTAGAAACATTTGCAGAAGGTATAGTGCTAAAGGAGTGAATATGTTGGGAAAATGCCAACATTGAACCATGGAGTTATTGTTTATTTGTTTTAGATCACTCATTAAATGCAACTTTTTTGTTTTATAATGATAGGCAAAACATGGGATCAACAGTTTGGAGCTTCCTCTAATTCAGCATAAACAATTGCCTGATCTTGAGAAACTTGTTTCTCTCTTGAGTGGTAAGCTCAAACTCCTTAATTTCTGCTTGTTGCTTCTTTTCTTCTAAGAGTAATGTTTATTGTTTATCTGTTTTTTTTTCTTGTAATCTTTTGGTAGCAGCCACTAGTTTTGATTGGATCATCATAACTTCACCAGAAGCAGCTCTGGTTTTTCTTCAAGCATGGAAGTAAGTTCAGAAATTACCCATCTATAATTTCAAGTTGCAATGGCTCCATGCCATCCTTTTCTTTCTTTCTTTATTTTTAGTCGATGTTTTCAAGGTGCTGAATTTGTTTATGACCTCCAATGAATGTTACTCATAACTTTGTTCATCCCTTACCACTCTATCCCAGCCTGTATCCAAAAATATCAACTTGTAAAATGTGTTGCAGTTATCTCTGGATGTTGTATTACTTAAAATGATTGGTTAGTAGTGACTTTTGTTGAAAATAGCTTAGTGTTTGATGGAGGGCATGTAATAAGAATGGAGAGGAAATACCCAGTGTTTTATTCACATATGCACTAGTAATTTGGAGTTTTGTTCTTGTGTTATTTCCACTAGTGTCTTATTTGTTATTTGTTAATTGTAACCATAGTTTAGGGTTATAAGGAAATACTCTGAGAATATGCAAGGAAAAAGTACACGACCTGATTTGGTGAAGTTAGAACATGCATGGGCATCATCTCTATTAATAAGGTTACTCACATATCATCAATATATGTATGTTAGATATACTAGGTATAGGGTTTTGTCATTTGTGTAGTCTTAGGTTATTGTTTTACTTTTATGTTGTGGGTTGTACATTGTATCCAAGTTTAGGTTGTATCCTTGCAATAAAGAGCAAATGTATGACATCTCAGTTATATCCTTAGAATACAAGTCTCATCATCTTCACTAGGAATTCTACAAGAATTAGTATTTCATTAGGATCAACTTGAGGAGTGTTAGATATAAATAGTATAGGAATTTGTGTAATCTCAGGTTACTTTATATCTTAGTTTCCTGTTTTGGTAAACATTAGTATTATTATATATTCGATTCAATGCAAGTTTTTGTACTCTAAACTCTAAACATGAAAGCTTGAAAAGGGTTGTCTTTTGAAAATTTCTAGAAAACTAACCAGTTACTCTCATGTCATCTACAATCATAGAGCTGCTGGGACCCCAAATGTGAAGGTAGCTGCAGTTGGAACTGGTACATCAACCATATTTCATGACGCTTCACCTTCATCTAAGCAGTTTATTGAAGTTGCCTTTACTCCATCAAAAGGTACTATCTTTAAAATAAATGTCTTTCTTCTAAACTCCAAACAGCTGTAATATTTAGTTTTATTATCTTCTTTCACAGCAACTGGCAAGGTTCTTGCTTCAGAGCTTCCAAAACAAGGGAATGAAAGATGCAATGTTTTGTATCCTGCTTCTGCAAAAGCTAGTCATGATATTGGTACACCCTTTAACTCCTTACTTTATTCCTCTTCCATAACATTTCATCTTCATAATTGCATCTGTTTATAACATTTTCAGTATCTCATTAGTTCATAAGTTTTAAATATGTACTAAAATCAAACTGTGTTTCAGAGGAAGGTCTTTCTAAGCGTGGATTCCACATCACAAGATTGAATACTTACACAACAGTATGTATTTTAGTTGTGATAATTTTTTGATGTTGCATTTCAGTTTCACATTCTTATTAATATCAAGGGAATTTCTGTTACATTATTTTTGGTTTTTGGACTTTAGGAACCTGTACAACATGTGGATCAAACAATTCTACAACAAGCACTCTCTGCTTCTGTAGTTGCAGTTGCATCACCTTCTGCAGTTGGGTACTTAATATTCTGATGCTCAATTCTCTTACTATTTTCTTTGTATTTCAGATTATATTTTTCTCTTATTCTGCAACAGTGCTTGGGTGGATCTTCTACCTGAACCACACACATGGGAGGGTTCTGTTGCATGCATTGGTGAAACCACTGCTTCAGCTGCTAGAAAATTAGGCTTAACAAATGTATACCACCCATCTACCCCTGGTCTTCATGGGTAATATAATAATATTTATATATATTATAAATATAATAATATTCTTGTTATTATAAATTCACAGTTTTATTTACTCTTTCCATTTGACAGATGGGTTGACACCATTTTTGATGCTTTACGTGTACATAATCGTCTCTCAAATGTCTAAAACCAAGGTAGCTTGTTATTACAATTTACTGGTATACCCTTTGTTGACCATGTTTTATTTCTTGTTTCCAGTTTAAAGTACCTTTTTTTTTTATGCAAGAATTTGAGAGCTGATGCATATGATGACTAAATGAGGGAGTACATTACAATTTACAAGAACAAATTACATCTCTGTACATATGTAGTAATACCATGAGAGAAGTAAACTAGCACTGAGTGACATTCATGATGTTTGTTAATTGTTAATGTATATCAACTTTCAATGCTGTAATTGTAAATGACCATTTTTGTTTTTCAATTTATGATTTTTTTTTTCTAAAGAGGTCTTTCTTGTATATCAAAAAGCAATAATAAATGAAGAATTGAACGTTGATGGAACCCTTGAAATCTGAATCCCTTTCTGTTTATTGGTAATTTTTCATCTTACAAGAACTATCTGCAATTCAATTCAATCAATATTTGGAATCGTTACTTATTTTAGTTATTTGATTCCGACAAGTGAGAAACTAAAACTACTCAGTGGCATTTAAGGTAATTATTCCAAAGATGGAGGAAGTTTCCCCTGAAGGAATGATGAGATCATTTGCAATGCTCTTTCTGGCTGGTAGCTTGGAACTAAATGCCCTGCTCCTCTTACTGTAGTAAGCACAACTCCCTTGTATCCTACCACATATCCTCCAACCTATCACATGTTAAATTCAGGTATTATAGTATTATTACATATATTTTTAAGTATTTAATTTTTGATGATTCAAAATATTATGTACCTCTTTGTTATAGTACCATGGTCTCCAAGCAGCCTCTACTGGAAGCTTCAACTTATTTACAGAGTACCTTGAGGATGTTACTGGGACCCGTCCATCTGTGTCACCACTGCCGATTCATTATAAATCAAATGTAAGTTTATTTTTGTGTATGTTTAATAAATAACTGATTGGGTGTTAGACTAGATCGAGTTACCTGTATATCCAGACACTAATTCCATTTTCAATAAGTTGAGTGATAGTAGGCAAAATGGTTGTTGGGCTGTCTATCATTCCAATACCACTGCACATAAAATCACAAGTCGAATACAAGAAATAACATGAGACTTTCATTGATTTTTGTTTATTATGGAATAATGGAATCGTAGTTTTAGAGAAAGGGAAGAAAAGGTACGCGCAAAATCCCCATGAGGTATTTCGGACATGAAGAGCTTCTTGCACGTCTGCTCGATTCAGATATGATAAGACATAATCATCAGAGCAAGGATCAAAGGTCGTGACCTAGTTCAACACATCATGTCTTCAAACAAAAGTACATTGTAATTTCCTGTATTTGAAAGGAATGAGAGACTTACAGATCCGGTGGCAGGTTTCTGGATACTTCCATCACAGAATGGGGCATAGATGTTGTAAATATCAATCTCACCATATTCACTACCTGATTGGCTTTGATAATGAAAACACGTTGCTGAGAAATTCCCAGAACCATAGCCACAATACTCGTTGATCCCTGCATTTGTCTCATCAGAGTTTAGAGCATGTGTCCAGTAGTAATCATACATTCCTTCATCAGTTGCATTGTCATCTATCACAGCATTCCCAATCTGCACAATCACAATACAAAACACCCATTGGTTGTATTTGTGCTTATGTGGCATCTGTTACATGTGACTTGACTTGTCTTGTCTTGTTTTGTCTGATAATTACTTACCGCAATCCCACGAAGATTAATGACTGTTCCGTTGGTTTTCTTGTTTTCTGAGAGAATGAGGGATGCGAGTTGAGGTACATAGTGACCTGCGTAGCTTTCGCCTGTAATATAGAAATCTCGGGTTTTGTATTCAGGGAATCTTTGAAGCCAGTTGATGAGAAAAGTGTATGAGTCTTTAGCTGTTTGCTTGTCTCCTGTCGCGTACGATGTGTTTGAATATGAGAACCCCACTCCAGCAGGCGACTCCAAGAATAGTACATTAGCCACTGTCGAATTTTCAGGATTTAGGGTACGTTTTACATTGTGATTTTGGAAACAGCAACATGAGAGCTTTTAAAGGAATTAATTTGTGTTACCATTATTCCATGCATAGTCGTTGCGATAAAGTGTTTTCCCATCACTGTTGACTCGGAAGGGTCCAAGTTCTTCCATGGCTCCGTATCCAAATGAGGAGCATCCTGGCCCTGTACAATAGGATTGTTAATTCCAAGTCTGTCTATCGTATGAAACAACATGAGGTTAAAGGTGTGTTTGGTTGTGGAAAATTGTTTTTATTTTTGTAGAAACGTTTTCAGATAATAAAGTTGAGTTTTCATTTTCAATTAAAAAAACATGTTTTGATTGAAACCAGTGGAGTTTTCATTTTCAATTTAGAAATTTTAGAAAACTTTGGGAACTATAACAATTACTTTTCTAATTTAAATACAACTAGTAATTGAGCGGTAGGTTTTAGTGTGGGAAAACATGAAAGTTTAGAAAACAAAAGGGTAAAATTGATATTTTACCAAGTAGGAGGTGAAAGGGATGAAAGATATCATTTTATAAAATAAAGGGGTTGCAAATAATTGATTATACAAAGTTGAAGGATTGAAGTTGTATTTTATGGTAACTATTTATACATTGTGCATGAATTGATTATTTGTTACATAACTACACTTGCAAAGACTTACCATTTGTATATATTTATAATTTGAAAAACAGAAATGAAAAATAATTTGAAATTTGAATCAATCAAATGTGTTTTTACCATTTCTACGACCAAACTCACTCTAATATCTTTACAATTGATTGGAACGGAATTGATGCATTACCTCCGTTGAGCCATAGAACAAGGGGTTTGGTTGAAGAGTTGTGAGGTGATTCAGCAAAGTAATAAAACAACGCCTTTCCCACCTTTGAATCGATTGTTACATAGCCTGAATAATGATCAAAATCGACTTGTGGTTGACCTGGCAACTTGTCAATCATATCTTCTTCCTTTGACCCTTGTTGAGGGACAATAGAAAGTGGAGATAAGTCTGATGTGTCTTCTTCTGTCCATGGCTGGACACGTGGCGGATTCTCTGATCTTCTCGACTCCATCAATTTGTTGAGGCTGGTGATCTGGTCATCCTTTCTTGCCACACAGAAACCCAGAAAATAAAGTGAAAAAACAAACAACAAATAATAAGAAATGTGGTTCATTTTAGTGGTGTATAATCGTATATAACAATAGTGTAATGCATATATATAAGCCGGTTGGGTGGTGTTATAACGTTATTTCCTAAGCTCATTGGACTGCTCTTTGGAATCTGTTGTTAAAATATAAGGATAAGTAAGGATGTATATTATACAACTAATGGTATTTGGTTGTAAACTTCTCCTTCGCTACATGAAGATAAATTATGGGTTTCTAACTTGCTTATATTTTCTTCTAGGTTGTGAAGGGGATGAATATTAGAGCCATTAGATGACTTAATAGTTATTATTGGCTTTGTTATGATTTGGGAAGTTTATATGTCAAACAGTGGCTTGAAAATTGAAATAATTTGACAAAAACATATATCTAACAGAAGTTTCATCAAAAGGGATAAATGGTATGTTAATGAAATTAGCATGTATTAATGTATATTAATTGGTTAATTGATGACTGTTGCATTGATCATACATGAGAGCATTATATTCATATCATGCTACGGCATTAATGCAACAAATTACAACTCATACATCTGGATTGTCATGTAGTGGTGAATTTTCATGTTGGTACTTTTTTTGATGTTCTTTAATTGTTTTGCATAAAAAGGTATTTTTGTAAGTTGAAAGTGTAGTGTTTATGGAGATTGTCATTATTATATATAATAAAAAACAACTTATGAATAGTATATTTAGGTTTTTTTTGGATGTCATAATAGTTGTGTTTTAGATTTTTTTTTTTTTTTTTTTTTTTTGCTTTAATAGTTTCTTATATTAATATGTTTGGTCTCCGTATAAAAAATAAATTACAAAAATTATTTTTTTAGTTGGCCGTTTAGATTTTTGTCATAATAGTTTTACTTTTTAGATTTTTACCCTAACAATTTCATATGTTAGTAGGTTTAGATTTTTGTCATAATAGTTTTACTTTTTAGACTTTTACCCTAACAATTTCATATGTTAGTAGATTTGAACTGTATGTAGAAAATTAATTATAAAAGTTGTCTATATAATTTAAATAAAAGATTAATATCTACTATTTTACTAGGTTTTAGACTTTGGACATAGTAGTTTTGTTTGTTGACAGGTTTAGATCTTATATAAAAAAATTAATTATGAAATATATGTTTAAAAAGTATACATTTGCGTTTGAAACTTTAGCAATAATATTTTCAGATGTTGATAATCTTGGTATGTAAAAACTAAATTACAAAATTATCCTTGTAATTTATAGAAAATGTCCCTATTCAGATTTCTTTTTACAACAAATGGTCTATGTGTTTAAAAATTAACAAAAATGGGCCGACTCAATAGAAAACTTACATTACGCCCCGTAAAACCAACAAAAGTAAACGATTTGGTAATTTTTGGTTATATATAATAAAAAGCAACTAGTATATATGTATAGATTAGTTTTGACTTTTAGATTTTTACCTCGATAATTTTGAATTTTAGACTTTTACCATAATAATTTCGTATGTTGATAGGTTTGATCATTGTGTAGAAAATAAATTACAAAGTTTTCCCTATCTATTTTCTTTTACGCATTGGTTTTAGATTTTAGCTATGATACTTTCGTATGGTGGGTAGGTTTGGTCCTGATGTTAAAAATAAATTATATAAGTTGTGATTGTAATTTACAGAAAATGCCCTTATGTATTTTTTCTTTTATAAAAATAGAATGTATGTTTGCATAGTATACTCATTGAAAGACTTTGGCCACAAGATTTTTGTATGTTCATAGGTTTAGTTGGTGTATAGAAAATAAATTATAAAATTGTCCCTGTAATTTATGTAAAAGGTCCCTATGTAATTTTTTTATATCAAATGGTCATTTTATTCAAAAAAATTTAGAAAATTGGTCACCATCTAATAGAAAATTTATAGATTATGCCCATCACAAAGCTGACAGAAATAGATGCTCGACTTGCGTCCTGTGAAGCCGGGATGAGGCAATTTCAAGTTTATTAATTTAAACTGTCTTAGTATTTTTCTTTGCATCACTTTTATTTGGGAAATCTACAGAATAGTCCTAAACATTTGGGAAAAGTTTCAATAAAGTCATGTATTTTTTTTAAACAGAAAAGTCATGATTGTTTAAAAATTTGCCCAAATTAAAGAAAAAGTCGTTTTTTATATTTGAACAGAAAATGACAGATTATATGATTTTCTCAAAATAATAAGACTTTTCTGTTAAAAAAAATTAGGACTTTTTTTTTTGAAACATTTCATAAAAATTTAGGACTTTTCTGTAGACTTCCTCATTTATTTTGTTAAATATTACTACAACTTGCATAATGTATAGGGTCTGAAGTAGTCTTGGCATTTTCCTTTCTTCTAGAAATATGAGAGTATGCCATGAGATTTGAATTTAAGGACCCAATCAAATAGGGTTTCAAGATATATCTAAGATATGTATTGGTAGTGGAAATACCTAATTGCAAACTAAGAATGAGGCCTAGTGGATTGGTACCACTCTAAGAGCTATGCGTTGCAACTATTGGTGTTTCTGAGGTTCTAAATGCTTAAAGTTGTCTCCTTTGGGGTTTGGAATTCCCCATGTTTGAGTTGGTGTCCGTTTGGCGAAAGTTTAATGCTTTAAGTGGATGATGGGTTCTTTGGAGGCTGCAAAGTCATCAAGCTTAATGTCCCTTAAGGAGTAGATATGTGGTTTGGACTCCTGATCTATAACATTAAATGCTTAATGTCGTATTTGGGATTAAGGGAGGAGTACGCTGGGAGTACAAGTCTGTACGCACAACGTACAAGCTAGTTTGCATGTACGCTTAGCGTACAGTTGAGCATGCTCCGCGTATCCAATCTAGAAGGGTTTGGCTTGTTGGGCTTCGATGTGGGCCGTCTTTTGGGATTAGTTGTCTTGGGCCCTGTTGGGCCATCATATTTTGGGTTGATAATTATGTTGGAAAGTCCTTAAATGGGTTTGGGCCCAATTTGGGAAATTATGCCATGATTTAGGCCTTGAATGGTTTTGGTATTTGGGCCTCTTGAATTATTAGGTTTAGGCCACAATCTCAATCTAAACTAGATCGGGGGTAAATTGGTCAGTTACCCTAATAATGGATTTATGGGCATGGTTTGAGATCCGAATGTTGATTGAGTGTTGTTTGATATTGACACTCCGGGGAATTTGTCAGCTAGCAGCCAGGGATCATTTGTGTGTTTTAGTAGTGTGAGGTGAGTCTCTTCACTATGTTTAGTGGGTCGAAGGCACCAATGTTGGCCCATGGTTTTATGTTAGGATGCTAGATGTTTGTTAGAATCTTGCAAGTGTTATATGATGATATGCTTACCGAGCAAGGCCCAATGCCAGGCAGTGCCTGATGAGGACATTATATTTTAGTTATCGATATATGTTTTTATGATTACCTGGCCAGGCTCGATGACTGTATGGTATGCTATAGTCTTTGTGATTATTGGATATGCTAGTATGGCTATATGCTTATATGATTATATGGGTATATGGTTATGTGTGTACCGGGCGGGGCTCGATGCTGGGCCAGGCCTGATGACTGAAACATATGCTAGTGTTTATGGTCATTTTATGTGTTAGCATGATTATGTGATATACTGTGTGTGTACAGTGGGCAAGACCCTGTGACAGGAGAGACCTGGGAATAACAAATCTGTAATCCGAATGGGGGATGTTGGGCAAGGTCCAAGGCCGAGTAGGACTCGAGACCGGGCGAGGCCTAATGGAGGGCGAGGGCCCAATATGTGATTCATGTATGAATGATATGTGGTATCTTGGGGAACTCATTCAGATTTGTGCTTATGGTTTTAAATTTATGTTTTAGGTGTTGAGTTTTGAGCATTCTAACACTCCTAAGTGTACATGCAACCCTAAATACCTTGGATCTATGTTTTCTCTATTATACATGCAAATATGAACATCTAAGGTATTCATCCTAACTAGCATAATAACATTGAATATAACAAGATAGAATACATACCTCTTTGATGTAGAAAGTCTTCATGAATCTTGAGTGCCTAGTGCCTCAAGTGTGACACCTCAAATGGTTCACACAACACCAAATACACTTGGAATAACTTGAGAGAAATCCACAACTCATGAAATCGGCTAGCCCTTCTTTTACACACACTAGTGCCGATTTTGGTCAAGAATAAGATGCATATATAGTTAGGGTTACACCATGTAAACCCTCATTGACATGGCCTTTCATTTCCATGATCCATGGGTACAAAACCCCATGGAGCATCCATGGATCTATTGGGTTTTGAGCATTCTAACACTCCTATGGTGTACAAGCAACCCTATAAACCTTGGATCTATGTTTTCTCTATTATACATGCAAATAAGAACTTTCCAAGGCTTTAATCCTAACTAGTATATTATGAAGTTCTTATACTACAAAGTACTAGTTAGATGACATACCTTTTGATGTAGCTTGATGTCTTCAAGCTTTAAGAGCTTAGCCCCAATAGTGTGGAAGCCTCAAGTGGAATCACAAATCACCAAAACACCTTGGAAGACATTAGAGAATATGGATACTTGGTTCTCTCTAGTGAAATCGGCTAGCCCTTCTTAGTGTACCACACTAGTGCCAATTTCACCAACCAATGATATCTTTATATAGTATGGAGACTAGGGTTAAACCCATGATCTTTCATTTCATATGATCCATGGGTTAAACACTCCATGGACTATCCATGAGAGCTTAGCCCAACCTAAATGAACTTGGCCTATTCCATATATATAAGAGTCTATATTTAATTAGTTCATTTTGATCACTTAATTAATTCTAAATTAATTCTTGATCAATACTAATTAAATAATATGATTCCATATTAATATATTAGAACTTATAATATATTAATATTAATCATAAATATACTCTTCTCAAAAGACTATCCATATAAATTGTGTCGGTGAAGTGCAACCCAAATGGACCATGCCGGGTCGGGTCAAGTACATACCAAATATAGTTATGGACTTAGACATTAATCCAATAGTCTCCCACTTGGATAAGTCTAAAACT